CTCACCTCACAACTATTTTCTCACAGTACAATTGATATCTCTCTCGATAAACAAAAAATAAAATTGGAAGCTTTGTAGAGAGCAATGGAGACTTAAAAAAAAAGTTGATAGAGGAAACTATTGAATTTGTGTATTGTGTTCTGTATAGTGTGTTCTGACTAATATGAAGAGTGATAGTTTAAATAGGGATGGAGTTGTAAAAATAAGAATGGATACGGACCATTAAAACATGAACTGAAATATGGACCACTAAAACATGAACTGAAATATGGACCACTAAAAATAATATTTATTTTTTTAAAAAAAATTATCGTAAAAAACTATATACCACATGTTTCATTTATTTAATTATATATATATATATATATATATATATATATATATTATTTTAAATAAATATTAAAAACATTTTAAATTCATTTTTATTATATATATATAATATATAAATGTAATAATATAATAAAAAACATGAAAAGTTTTATAAATCTAATTAAAATAATTATAAAGGTAATTGAAATAATTTTATAATTTAAATAATTTTCTTTCCATTTAAGAGTAATTGAAAACTCTTATAAATGTAATTAAAAATAATTTTATAATTTAAAGACTTTTCTTTTAAGTAAAAGTAACAGAAAACTTTTAGAAATAATTAATTTAAAAGTAACGGAAACTTTTAGAAATAATTTTATAATTTAAAAATAATTGAAAACTCCATTACTCTACTAAAGTTATAAATGTCATACTCCAATTGGTCCATGATGTCAATTTTGCCACTGGTCCATGATATCAATTTTATCACCACATCACGTCGGATATCTTGTTTTGAATTCGATTGGTCCATGATGTTAATTTTGTCATCGGTCCATGATGTCAATTTGCCACTACATCATCACGTCGGGTATCTTGTTTTAACTGAAACTTCTTCGTTTTAGCTCTAATTTGAGTGAACAAAAAAAAAAAAGTTGAAATCGTTATTCCGAACCTTACACTGTGGATAAAAGAGAATTGTTAATAATTTAAGGTAGGTTTGTTATCATCAAAACATCAATTAATTAATTAATTAATTTGAGATTAAGGGCCAAAAAGCCAACAATCGGCTTATCGGCTCAGTATCGCTATAATATATCGATTTCTAGGTTTTCGGCACTTCTGAAACCGTTTCTGCCCTTATTTTTTACCATATGAGGTCAGTATGGTTCCTAACCGTCAAAGACAAATTGTGCTAGAAGTTTATTTTGGTAGATAGGATGAGATTTAGTTAGGGTATATTAGGGAAGGTTACTAAATTTTTATGTGGTTATTATAGGACGTATTTAACCGTTGGAATTAGCGTGTTGTGAGTGAATTCGGACAAGGTCATCGAGGTAAGTGACCTTACTATTGGAGTTAGCTTACTACGTGTTGTATGATGGTGCGTGCCCTGTGGCTCATGCATGCACCATATTTTATGTGATATGACTATATGATGTATGAATTATGTGATTGTTTACTCTATGAAAAGTTATGGATTATGTTGATTGTTGACTGTTGACTGTTTACGCTAGGAAACGCTATGAAAGATAATGGATTATGTTGACTGTTGACTGTTGATTGTTTACTCTATGAAAGGTTATGGATTATGTTGACTGTTGACTATTTACGCTATGAAAAGTTATGGATGATGTTGACTGTTG